CTGACAATCAAATAAACTGGCTATGATAATACATATCATATCTTTGAAAAGCATAATGGCAAATAAGCAGTCAAAAAGTAAAATTAAACTTAGCTAGTAATATATAAGCTATTTAATGTAATTTATCATCCTATTATAGCAGGACTAGCTTCTATATCATATTGTTCAAAATCTTTTTTATTAGTTTTGAGAAAAGTATAACCATTAATTTTTTTTTACAAGTTTCAGAAATGTTCTGAAAATATTACTGTCACTAGTCTATAACTATGAAAAAATGTTCAGTACTGTAACAGGATTATATAACTGATGCAGATAGGTGTAGTATAAAATTAGCCAGTACATAAATTTAGCTAGATCTTTGAATATAATAACTCAACATCCAAGCTGGCCTGAAACTAGCAAATTAATAGAAATACTCAGGTTTCCTACTAGTTCTATGATAGTTTCAGGATACTACCAAGTTACTATTATAGTGTCAGCTTAGATTCTCTAAATCACATGCTTTAAAAATTAGCCTAAATTATACTATAGTGCTGACCAAAATCAGATCTGCAATTTACTGTATCATCTAATATGATATTTTTTTATCATATTTTGGTATTTTAAAAGGTAATTAAATAAGCATAAATTCTTAATATAAAACTAGTATTCAAACCAGCTAGCCTAGCATTGATAACTAAGAAGGATAACACAGCATTACATATCCAACTGGCAATCAAAAGGTTTAACAATAAAAAATAAACTACCACCTATTTAGTAATCAATCAGCTGTGAAGTCTTACCAGTATAAATTATACTAGAAAGCATTTATTGGTGTATAGCATATAATAAAAAAAGACATATTCAAATTATTTAAGCATAGTCATAATTAGATTATTTAATCACATAATCACAAATGATAAATAGGAAATGGGAAAAAAATTTGATTTCAAAAATAAGAATATAATAAAAAAAAATAGGTAAATATAAAAAATCATTGCAATTAGGTTATTTAATTAGATTATTTAATCATAATTAGATTATTAATTTTAGATTATTTAATTATATTTAAATTATTTAGTCATATCTAGATTATTTTATTATTAAATAACCTAATTTAAGCTGTTTATAACTAAATAATATAATTATATTATTTAGTCATAAACAGCTATCTACATTTTTACTTTAGATAAGAATGTCATATCTTACCTACTACAAAAAATCTACCTTTACGTAATCATAAAAATATTTGTCACTATTTTATATTTTTTATTTACATAATGATAAGTATTCTGAAAACTTAAAATTTTTCAGGATACAAAATCATATTTATCATCTTTATTTATTATATATTAATTTCTTAATGTTGTAATATTAGCTAAATATTATATAAATATAAATTTTTTTATGATAATACTAGAATAAATTAATAATCTTTAATGATAAAATTTTGTAAATCTATTAATATTTATTTAAAATTTGTTCTGCTTTATAATTATTATTTTTGTAAATATTTATCATAAAATCTCAAATTTAAATATTACTTTTTTGTAATCAAATAATAGATAAAATTAATAAGATACTTAATTTTTAATTTTATATTGGAATTTTTTTTTTAAATTCAAATTCTTTTTTTATGAGAAATATTTTTATTTTTTTAATTTATTTTTTCGATTTTTAATTTTTTTATATTATTTTTTTATTAGAGAAAGATATTTTTAATATTTTTTTTATTGCTTTATCTATTTTAATTTTACAAAAAAATAACAGTATTTAAAGTTGTATAAATAAATGATTATAAATAATTATTTTTTTAATTTTTTATATTAGTTTTTTATTGAAAAAAAGTGAGAGAAAAGAAAATATTTTTTAATAAATTTTTTTTATTATTTCATCTATCCTGATTTGCAAAAATAATAATATTCAGGATTATATAAATAAATAATTATAAATAATCATTTTTTTTTAAATTATTTTTAAAATAAGGTCATGTATTATTAAAATTTTTTTATTTAATATTAAAGTATTTTTAAAATTTCAAAATTTCTATTTAATAAATTATAATATCAGTATAATTTATAAAATTATTATTTTATTCAACAAAAATTTTGATATTAATATAATACAAATTTAATTAAATAATATAATTAAAGAAATTAAATGTACTAAATTAAAAACCGAATACTATTTTAAGAGGGATATAATATATAGAAAATATTATATATAGAGATTATAATTACATAATAAATTTAAATTTATTTTTCTTTTATAACTGTTTCTCATTATATATATATAGCCTTCTTTAATTAATATTTAATAAATATTAAGAAAACTTAGTATTTTTCCTCTCTTTATATAAAATTATGAAAAACATTTAAGTTTAAGTAATAAGAAAAATTAAATATTGAAAAAACTATATAAAATAATGTTATGCTTAGATATTAATCAATTTTCATAAAATTTAACTTTGAAAAGTATTTAGATATTATTTGTAACTAAATTAATATGAATAGTGAATAGTATTTAAGTATTAATCATAGGGAGTATTATTTTTAAAAGATATTATATGTAATAATATATAGAGATACTATTGAAGATATTATAATAATTTAATAATTTTTAAAAATAAAAAATATCATTATTAAAAACCTTTTATGAAAGATTAGCTAAAATGATTAAATATTTACTGAAAGTAAAAATAGTATTACAATTAGTTACAATCATATATATTTATTTATCATTAATTATAACTAGTTATAACTTAATTTTTATTAATATCGCAATTAGTTGTAATATTATAATACTTATTTATTACAAGTTATAATGTCATTTTTAATTAAAAGTAATTTTTTTAACAATTTTTTTCTTTTTTAAAATAAATGATTAATTATTTTAAAATTAATAAAGATGGATATAATGAAAAAAACTGATAATTAACAGTAGAATTTGATATTATAATTTATAAATTCTTACTTCTTACTAAAGAGTAATATAAATATTTCTTTTCTTAAAGAGTTAAAAAAATAAAAAAAAATTAAGATAAAATAGGATTCTTTATTTATTATTAGATATTAAAATATTATTATTGATATTATAAAGATAGAATAGCAGATTATATTAAAAAATTACTTATAAGTATAATATATTAACTATTAAAAAATTTAATAATGATTATTATTATTATATTACTAGATCAATTAGAATTAGTTTAAATAATTTATTTATTATAATAAATCAAAGTTTCTTATATATTTAAAATTTTAAAATATAAGTAAATTTATTAATTTCAATTATATATATATATTTATTTATTTTATTTTTTTTTATAATATAACATTTATAAGAAATATTTTTATAAAAAATTAACATATAGTAACTTCTATAATTATTATATTATTTTATTTAAAATTTTTAGATTTCTTTCATTGAGACAATTTTATTGAATCTAAAATCATCAAAATCCAATTATTGGTTAACTTAAAATTGGATATATATGATAATGAATTTTAAATATCTTTTATAATATACAATTCTGATCAGAATTTATATATAAACTTTATGCAAACTCTAAACTGTATTATATAAGAGATTTTTGAGATCTTACCATTATTATTTTACATATTTTAAGAATATTTTAATACTTTATAATATCATATCAATTAGCTTTAAATAAGAGGTAACATCAATTTTATCTTATATCTTATTCAATAAATCATTACTAGTAATATTATGAAAGTTATCATAAATAACAATTCATCTCATTTTACAAATATTCAATAGGATGATTATATTAACCAATTTAAAATTTTAATATTATTATTATCAAAATATTTATATGTTTTATTTACCATATTTTTTGGATTATTATCCTATTAGAAAATGATATCATTTATACTTAAATTATATTTATTAAGGATTTTTATAAATTCATCTTTTAAAATTTTATAATATAGCTCTCCATTTATTCACTTATCAATTTTACAATATTTTCTATACTAAATGTACTTATATAATCCTATACTATAATAGAATCTCTACTAAATTTTACAGTTAGCTTAACATGTTATGGTTTTAATGGTAACTTTAGATCCTTTCAAGATTACTTTCTTTATCTAAGTCAAAAATCATAAATTTACTTTCATCTGAACATATCACTCTTTGCTATCTTTTATAGTCAATTATGATATTTTTGAACAAACTTTTTGAGTAATTCTATGTTATTTTAAAAGTAATGACTTTTTTTTTTAATTTTAGCTATAATTCTTGTTTTCTTAATGAGCATCTAACTGTATTTGAAGAAACAATAATATTTTTATTGAAATTGACTTTTTCTAACTTGAACAGCATTTGAACATTCACCTGACTTGACAAGTATAGCAATATTTCTGTCATGATATTCTGTAAGTATCCTTAAGTGATCTGGTCTTGGAGTAATATTAAGACTACCAATTTTTTTCTTTTGGCTTTTTATCCTTAATACTGAAACATGTCTACGAGCAGCAATAGTACGACTTGAAAGTCCTTCTTGAAGAAGATCGAATATATGTTCTTTTTGATAAAGCTTACTTATATATATAAAATTTATCATATGTTTAACATTTATTTATTCGTGTTAAAATGCCAAAATTATTGTATTACGAAAAAAAATACATAACGTGATATTTTATTTTTGGATAAGCCAAAAAATTAAATATTAACAAAAATTATATATGCTAAAAATGAAGTCACGAACTTTTAAATTATCTTAATTTTTTATTTGTATAGTTATTCGAATATGAGTTATAACAATTTTAAAATTTTAAATGAAGTGGTACAGCACAATAATTATGGAAGTCACTGTATTACGAGATTTAATAAGATAATGGCCAAAGCAAATTTGGTCAAAATATGTTGAAGAAATTGAAGAATTGATTTTACCTGAAAATAAAATTCAATTTATTGTCTTTCAGAAATGATATTCAACACTTTAATACATGTGATAGATTTTTTAAATTACTTAATTTAAAGTATAAGATGGAAATATGTTAATATTCGGATTTGCTGCTAAAACTTTAATTGTTGCTTATGCTACTTTAGCTTTTTTGCGTTGCGTTAAAAATAAAAATAAAATTAGAAGAGGAAAAATTGCAAAGGTTTGTTGAATATTAATTTAAAATCTTTGTATTGAAAAAACATTTGGTTAAGCGTGTAAAATTCATTCGTTTCTCATAGTTGATCCTTCAATGTACTGATATGCACGAAGTTGCAAGACATTTTGAAGAATTATCATGAAAAAGAATAATGATCCATTAAATCCAAATTTTATGAACGTTAATATTGTCTGTGATCAGATTTATCCATCTATTTCGTATATAATTAATATTAAGCGAGAACGCTAACAAGAAAAAATCATAATACTTTTCTTTTTTCTTTTTTTAGATTTTACAATGGTGTAAAACAAATATTCCGAATAAACCTAATAACAAAAGATTGTTTAATAACATATCTATTTTAATGTTTATTGGTTATTTAATCGTATTTATATCTTTATATTTTAATAGATAATCTAACTTGGATATTTAGAGAGTCAAAGCTATGTATTAATTAATTAGTTTAGAAGTTAATATTGCGAGACGTGTGTCATAAAAATAAAATACATAAAATCAGCTTTCCCAGTAAATATATATAATTAGAGCTGAATCAAGGTATATATCTAATATTATCGTCATTGTAAGAAGATAAATTAGCTACAGTTTTACTTCATAAAAAAAAAAAAATTTCCAAATTAGAAAATCGTTAACATGTCAATCATAACGATAAAAAAGATATTAGAAATTTGTTCCGAAAGTATAACAAAAGCATTTCCTATGCATGTAATGACATTTTAATTTTTTACCCTTGTCATTCTCCTCCCGTATAATCAACATGCATGGAGATAACGAGGGTCCTTTCGATACTGATAATATCCAGGACTAAATACAGTATGTGATATAAGTACATTTTCTCATTGGTTATTTACTTTGTGGAAGTCAATCTGAATGTCCACAAAGCCAATGTTTTGCTATTGATATCAAAATTTTATATGTACTGTATGTTAGGATATGTATGATTACTTTATTTGCATGTTAATTAATGTAATAAACCCTACATATTGTAAAATAGGATTATGAACAATTTATTCTAAGTGAAATACATGTAACTTTTGTCCTCAAAGAATGTATTTAAAAAATTTTTTCATTTATATTTGAAACGGAGATCCATTTTTGGGGGGTTTACAAGATTTGAGGTGGTACAAAGATCGTGAACTTATCTGGGTTGTTGTTTCGTCATACGCGCTTCCAGATTCGCCATTTGACAAGTTTCATTTTATTTTTTATTTTCGCTCTAGGAATAATGCCAAATAAAAAGGAGTCTTGGATGTTTCCAACACTAACTGACTCGGACATAATATTTTTCTTTGAATCCCTTAAAGTAGGTATTTCAATAACTGACCATGACCTAAAGAGACCCATGTATGATCGTATACGTGAACTCTATACTAAAGTTTTAGAAGAGACTACTGGAGGAGTATTTGAACAATTTGACGTTATAGCATTTCAGTCCATGCAAGAAATTTTACAGGAAATAGATGCCACCGATGTAAATATTATATTCATTGCTTTTTGCTTTTTTTTTTTTTCCTTTGTTTTGTTAACAAAAAGAAAAAATGAATAATTAATGTTAATTCATTTAATTAAATTTCAAAGCATCAAGATATATACACAATGCAAATGAACGCAATTGCCTTTTATATAAAAATGTAAGTTGATATATTATGTACTTACTTTTTTTTTTGTTATTGAAAATAAATGTTAACCTTCTATATCGTTAAAGGAGAAGATTCATGCAAGTTGTGGGTATATCAGATTTCAACTTGGGAGATATCATAAAACCGGAACCACAGAGACTTCGTACAATTCTTAGTGGAATTATAAATTATATGAAATTCCGTGAGGATCAAATAAAAATTTTATCAAAATTGGATCAAGAAATCGTAAGTAACTTTTTTTTTTTCTTAAAAAAAAAAAAGGCATCCTTTAAATAAGTTGTACCATTTGAGTATCTTTGAAATTAAAATTTTAATAATCTTGATTAAAGGAATCTATTGAAACGAAAAATGAAGAATTGGAAAGTCATTGTCTTAATCTTACTGCGAGACTTAATGCTTTGAAGTATGATGTCTTATAAGGTTTATTATATCTGATTTTATAATGACTTAAATAAACCAAATTATTCACATTAAGGTTGCAGCGTAAAGAACAAGAACCGGAAGTGAAAAAGTATAGGCAGATTAATGAAACCCTTATGAGCAGAATGCGTGAATTAAAAAAGAAACAGACAGGTATGCTGTCCGAGATAGAAAGTTTAAAAGCTTCCAGAGTCGAATGGACTGATAAAATCGTATGTGATCACATTTAGTACATTTTGTAATCCTTTGAACTCGAGATACAGAATTAAAGACATATACGCGTCGCACTCACTTTTAACAGAATAACTCTCAATTTCTACTGGTTACTGCTAAACAAAATCTCGAGAGTTTGAAAAGTCGCATAGTATTAAATCCGGAAAAGTTGAAACAGGTTCGTTATTACAATTGAATAGAATCTTTTTTTTTATATATATTAACCCATAAGATATATCTTTTTCAATAGACCGTTGAAGAAATGAATAATCATCTGTCAAAAGAAAGAGAAGATCTATCAGTGGCGGAAAAGTCTATTCGAGATATTAATGTAAAAATAGACATGCTGAAAGCTGTTGAGGAAGTAAGTATCGTTTGTTTGTTGCAAAGTAACTTTTCATATATATTTTAGCAGTAAATTTAATTAATTGTGAAATGATTTAGGAAATTAAAGTCTGCAACAAAATTCTGGACGAAGTCTTAAAACAAATGAATACTTTTGATAGGGCCAACAAAGAACTCAGAGATTTACAGGATGATGTTGAAACCAAACGACAGATTTTACGCGAAATTGAGAAGAAAGAACAGGTATAATTTGCACATGGAATTTAAAAGAATTTATACAATATATTTTATAATAATAACTTGATTTTCTTTCAAAGTTTCTGACTCGTCAAAGACAAAATTTGGAAGAAAGACTTAAACGTCAACGAGATAGACACAATCAAAGGGTAGAGGAGTCAGAAAATAAAATTGCGATACTGCAACAAGAGTACGAAAAGATTCAACAAGAAATGAACGAATATGAATTGAAATCAGCAGAGGAAAGGAAGTTGCATGATGAATTGCATGAAAAGGTATGCAAATTTTTTATTATCAGCTGTTATTTATATCGGACATGATATATCATTTAACTTTACATACTTATAGATTGTTGATAAGGTTCAAAGCTGGGAAAAGGAGAAAGCTGCTATAGAGTCTCAATATAAGGCACTTGTGGATAAAATAGATAGCTATGAGCAAGAACTTCTCTTTACCATAAAATGTCACAAAATTTAAATTCAATAAAATCGCTATTAATCAACAACGTGTACTATAATATTAATTTGTTGAATTTGTTTGTGATTGTAGTTGATTTTGACTTTGTTGTTGTGATTCATCATTCAGAAAGTCTAAAGAGAGATCAGCCCATTTTTTATTTCCTGGTTTGAGTTGTTCTGGCAATAAATTATTGACTATAAATTTTTAACATGAGTTGAGAAATGAGTTAGTTATTAGTTAGATTGTATTTCCCCAATTATTATACATACAGTCATCATTATCACTAGTTGAAGGAGGTTGATGCTTCAGAGGAACGGCAATTTCTGTTTAAGAAAAGAAAAATTGTTTAATATTCAGATTTGAATAAAAAAAAATCCATTTTTTGTTCTTTTACCATCGTCAGGTAATTTATAGTTCTCCCATTTGTCAAGAAAATCCAAATGTTTGGTATGTCTTAAATGTGCGTGATTAAAACGTCCGTCCTATTACGGAAAGTTCAGTTAGTATTTTAGTATTCAAAAGATTATAAATCTAGAAATAAAAAATATACCATTATTTCAAAGTGTAAAATTAATATTTATCGTGAGAAATTCAGATTATCAATTACACGTCAATCACGAACTTTTTTAAACTCATCATTCCTTTTCGTGATCAAAAAAAAAAAAAAAAAAATATGAGATTGAAACTTCGAAATAAAGATAATGTTATAATTATCGCAACTTTGAATGAAAATTCTTTGTTCAAAGAATTAACTGAAACAATAAGTAACCTAACAGGAATCCCACCTTTACATCAAGAATGTAAGAACGTATGAAAAATAAATGATTTTTTTTTATTTATTAATTTATCCTTACTCATTGTTTTAAAAAAAAGTAAAAGTAGGGTATCCGCCAAAAGTATGTAAAGCTAACGATAACGATACTATAGCTTCAACCGGAATACAGAATGGGGATACCATTATCCTTACTGAATTGTCTCTGGCAGAAGTATTAAATATTGAACAAAGTACTCCAACAGTATCAGCAACTGTTCCATCTACTAATATACCCACACCTACGTCAAGTTCAAATGATATTATATCAGTTCCTACGGAAAATGGTTTCGTTGTTTTAAGGGTACTGAATTACAATTAGCTCTTTTAATTTTGTAATGGTGAGTCTATATAATTATATTAAAGAAATGACGTTATTTTTTTAGGAAATGGCTGACGATAATTCGTGTCTGTTTCGTGCAATTGGTTTGTATATTATAATTATTGTTTAAAAAAAAAAAATGATGGATTCAAAAAATTAATTCAACCTTTAATACTTTAGGGTATAAAAATTACAAAATTTTTGACTTTTTTTGAATTTTAATAAATATTTACTAAATTTTCGGATATTGTAAGTCATGTGCTGGAAAGATCAAGTGATGCTGTGCAAAGTTTGAGACAAAGTTGGTTTACGATTTTTTTTTTTTTTTGTCCCCCTTTGGTCAGTTTAATCGGGAATTAACTCTAGTTATTTTTTAGTTGTTATTGATCATATAAAAAGAAATCCTGAAAATTATTCGGATGTATTTTTGGGAAGACCAAGAGAAGAATATTGCTCTTGGATTTCACAAAAAAATAGTTGGGGAGGTGCAATTGGTATGAATTATTTGATGCTATTTAGAAAATATCATTGTAATATAATGGTTTTAATTCTTCAAATTCTTTATTAGAACTTTCTATTTTTGCAAATCACTACAAAGCTGGTAAAATTATTTTATTTAACATTGTTTGACATTGTATTTAAGGATATTAATTTATTTGTTTTTTTTTTAATAAGAAATTCGTAGTGTTGATGTAGGGAGTGGAAGGATCGATCGATATGGTGAGTTATTTGATTTAACATGTAATTTTAATGATGATTGAAGTAGTTATTTGATTTTTGTTTTTGTTTTCTGCACAGGTCAAGGGCAATATGATCAATGCGTATTTGTTATTTACAGGTTCGTAAATATTTTTTTAAATAAATATGTAAATGAATCTCCTCTAACTTTGATTATATATATATATATATATATTTTAGTGGCATTCGTAAGTAATTTTTAATTCGCTTCTTAACTTATTTATTGTCTCATTGAGTTCTTTGTGAATTGATTAGATTATGATGCTATTGCTTTAACTCCAATACTCGATGCAAGTCAAGAATATGATCAAACGATTTTTAGTACAACAGATGATGTAATTCTAAAAGCATCATTAGGTGTTGCTGGTAAAATGAAACAAGTAATTATTAATTTCTTTTTTTTAGAAATCTTTTTCTAATAACTTAATAACCAATTTTCTTTATTTAGTTACACAAGTATACATATACATCTGAATTTACCTTAAGATGTGGTCAATGTAAACAAGGATTAAAAGGAGATCAAGAAGCTATACAACATGCTAAGCTAACAGGTCAGTTTATATTATTATATGTAACTTTTTTAAAAAAAAATATATATATATATATTTCTCATTTATTAAAATCAGTTTTATAAAATAATCAGGTCATAAAGAATTTGTTGAATATACAAAATAGGTAAATGTTTAATAGGTTAATAAATAGATAAATATATCTTTTTTCGGTTTAATGATAATTAAAATTTTTTTACTTAAATGCAAAATGCTAAAAATTATTATAATGTAATTTTAATGAAATTATTTAAATTAGATTCAGTTTAAGTTTGCTAAATTGTTTGATTTTAGTAAATAATTTTGATTTTTTAATAATTTTAATAATTTTTTTAAAAACAATTTAAATATAAATTTATATAATAATTTTAATTAATTTAAAATAAAATAAGTAAATTATATTTTACATTTAATAGAATTATTTATTAGATAATTTTTTGCGCATAATAATTTATATTATTATTTTAGAAAAATAAATTTTTTTCATAAATTAAAAAGAAGGTAATTTCTAATTGTACATGAGATTTATCATTGATATTATTGATATTGTTTTCGTATTGTGTCTGAACATTATGTAAAATATACATGTAAAGTGGTAACAAATAATATTTTTAGTAAAATAAATTTTATAAGTTTTTAGATTAATTAGTAAAATGAAACATATTAAATTGTAATACAAGTAATAAATAGTAATCTATATTAACATTTTACTAATCCTAAACTAAAAATAATAAGTTTATATATATCATATGATCCATATTTATACACTTTGAGTTTACTAAGAAATTTTTTAAAAAGAAATATAATTATATATATTTTTTAAAATAAAAATTAATATAATAATTTAATCATTAATTAATAATTTTAAGTATCAAATTGAATAAAATATAATTAAATATATTATAAATCAATTATATAATAAAAAATTAAGTTTAATTTATTAAACAATTATCTAATATTAATATATTAATTATTATTTTAATATAACAAAGAATTTATAAAGAACATAAAATTTTAATTAATATTATTTAAAAATTAATTATATATTAAAAAATTATAAATATATATTATTTAAAATTAAGCATATAATATTTTAAATAATAAGTATATTTATATATAATTTTAAAATTACTAACTTAAATTTAAAAATTTAAATAAAAAAATTACTAGAGATAATTTTTTTAATAATTTTAAACAAATTCTTAAAATCTGATTTTTTTAAAATTAATTTAAATGTATATTTTATTTATAAATTTAAAATTCTTAATATATTACAATTTAAATGATAAAACTAAAATTATAATATTTTAATTTAGATTATTTAATATTATAAAAATAATTTAAAAAATTATAATATAATAAAATAATAAATAATTATTTAATAATTTTTAAAATTTAAATTAAATATAATATTAAATACTAAAATTATGATTTTATATTTATTTTAAAATTAAATCTTTTATATTAAGTTAATAATACCAATTTATGTAATTTAATAATTTACAAAAAGTAATCACAAGTTTCTAGATAATAAATATTTGGGGTCTTTGCAATAGAAAGAGAGGAAACTCCAAAAAAATTAAAATTTTAGTTTATAAACCAAAAATGTTCTAAATATTATAATTTGTTCAGATTTATTATTAACTTA